GCCGCCGATTCGCTCGTGCTGTGCACCGGCGTCGGCAAGGGAGGCAAGAAGGTCAAGCTGCCCGGATACGATCGTGGCCGCAGCCTCATCGTGCTCATGGGCGTCGCAAGGCTCGCGGCCGTGGTGGCCACGCTCACTGCAGGTGGCTCGTCGGGCGCAGTCGACGCCGACAGCATCGGCGACCGCGAGGGCGCCGTGTTCCCACCGTACACGCCCATCGCCATCATCGAGCGCGCCAGCTCGTCCGATCAGCGTATGGTGGCGAGCACGCTCGACGGCATCGTCGAGGCCATGGAGAATACGGGCGAGCAGAGGCCGCCGGGCATGATGCTCATCGGCTGGTCCGTGCTCTCCCTTGAAGGTGACGGCGACACCACGATCCAGGACGACGCACTGACCATTGAGTCGGAGCAGCAGCTTGAGGCCAAGGACCGCGAACGCGTGCAGAGGTGGCTCAAGGGTCGACGCTGGATCGTGCGCGAGGGTCTCGACCAGTCGTATCGCGATGCGCTGGCTGCCTTCCACGCTGCACCTCTCCAGCTGCCGGCAGTAGCGCTGACCCACCATCAAGATGAAAAGGCGCAAGCGGCTGGTGCAGATGCAGAGGATGCGGAGCGCTTCAGCAAGCGCGACGAGACTGGCTGGGCTCCTGCGCGCTATGCGACCGGTGTACCTGAGGGCGGCTGGATGGCAGGCGAAGCACCCAACCGCCCTGCGACCGACGAGCTCGCATACGAGCAGGACAAGACCTACGCCGAGATCCAAGCCAAGCTGCGCGCCGTTTGAAGCTTCACACGCCACCCACGTGAGATGTTGCAGGAATCGCATTGTTATCCACTTCGCATGTCGAGAGTGAGTGCAGTCTACTTGGCAGTGTCTTTGATCACCATCCGGCCTCTGCCAGGGCCTACTTTGAGCTTGGTTTGTGGCTGGGCGACTTTCTCGGTGCGTTTACGGCTCCAACTGACTCGTGTCGTGGTGGAGCTATCCTGCAGGGGCAAGTCTGGCGTCGAGCTGGACGACTTGAATCTCAGAGCCGCTGCGAGTTTCGAGGTGGTTTTGGGCTGTGTGTCATTTGGAACCGGATTAGACGTGGGAGGAGTTATATTGTATCGAAACGCCGAGTCTTTCGAAGCGACCGGAGCGAGGGTGAGGGAGGAGACCATGTGATGGAGTGCATCCACCTTGCGCGCCAGATCGGTGAGGTCGGTTTCATCTGCCGGCTCCGAGAGCGTACGGCCTGCAGACGAGACGGGCGAAGGAAGGCCGTACGGATGATCCATTCTCGGCGCCATTGTATGGCCCGGATCGTAGTAGCCAGCTGGATGGGGAGTCGGCCTGTAGTATCGAGACGAGCTGCTGCTTGTGGTGCCGGAGAAGAGCGAGGGTGTTGCACGACCGTCGTGTTCGGGCCATGGCGGAAGCGGACGCGTGGGTGGTGGGGCTCGACGCTCGAGATCGCGCTGTCGACTTTGAAGTTGCAGAGCCATGGTGAGCTGCTCCACCTGCCTGCGCAACGCCTCGACCTCAAAGCTGTCTTGAGAGGCGCGCGGTGGTTCCGACAGGCGCTTGCATGCCTCCAGCCCGGGAGAGCCATCGATACAGCTGGCATCCTCCCATGCCGCCTCGATCTCGTCGGCTGTGCCCAGTCCGTCTGTCATGTGAAGCCCATACATGGCCTGCTCGCGGGTCGAGGCCCCAGTCGGATATCCCGGCGCCAAGAATCTCGACAGCGGCCGCCGCTCGATTCCAGCAGCCCCGAGAGGCACTGCTCGACTCTGCATATGGGCAGGGAGATGGTACGGCATGTGACTGTGGTCCGAGGCAGGAACGTGCTTTTCGAGGTGGCCGGGTCGTACCCTCGGAAAGGTGTCGATGGTGTCGGTGGTGGTATTAATAGTGTCGTGCGTGAAGATGCTATCGGCATCGTACGATCTCGTGGACTCTGAGCGAGCGATCATGCTGTTGCTGTACATGTTATCACTTTTTGCTGCTTGTTGTTGATAGATACCCGGATCGACCGCCGCAACGGATGAGGAATGTGGGAGCAAATAGATGAAAGGCTATCAAAAGCTCGCGCTGCTGAACCGAGTTTATGTTGATGAAGCCGATCCAGACGCAACGAGCGGAACACAGCAGCAGAGATCAGCGGGGACCCATTCCTGTGTCCCAGGGGAAGCGACGATTGTGCAGATGAAGCCGGACGGTCCCGCATCCGATGCGGTGGAAAGACTGTCCATAGCTGATGTAGCTCTATCTATCCGAAGCGGCGAGCCAACCGATGTCAGCCACAGCCGCAAGGGCGGACCGGTGGCGGCTGGCTTTCGGAAGCATGTCGATCGCAAGCGAAGGCAGCGTTTCTCACGAGGCTCGGCAAGCCCGAGCCGATGAGAAGTGATGGCGACGTTCCTAGGACCCTACTGCGGATCTAGCTTCGCTCATCCACAGGACGGAAGCGGCGTCTGCCCCTGCTTGCTCCGCCTGCAAGCTCGTATGAGCTCATGCAGACCCATGCCTGTTCGCCGAGCGTGGTGGGAAACAATGCCTCTTCCTCTTTGGTGCTTGCAGATGCGGGTGGGTCTCGTCTGCGCATTGCATGCGCGCCAAAGCAAGAAGACTTGACCGGGGCGGGATTGCAGTCGCTTCGATTCGGACGAGCAGCTTCCATTGCAACTTGCCGCACATTTCTCACGCACCTGCAAGGTCCTTGTGGCATGCTGCTCCAGCCACCACTTGACCGTGCAACGCGGCGACGTTGGGCGCAAGAAGCACGGAACCTCTGCTGCCAGATGCTTATCTGGGGCGTTGGCACAATCTGGCAGTTGCCCCACTCCGACCAATGCGTGCAGCCGAGAGATAAGGATGTCGAGGGAAAAAAGGCTATCTGTTACATTCACAGTCGTCGAACAGCAGCTCTAGCTTTTTCGAAGTCTAACAACGCGCGAAAATCCACTCTCGTCGAGCACGCCAACATCGGGGTCGCTCGCGCAATGGGCTCGACATGACGCCTTCGCAGCGGATGGCAGAATGGGCCGCGGCAGTGCAGCTCGGATTTACGTGGGTTGGACTACGCGAGCAGCCTCGGCCGTGTCAGGTTGCGCCATCGCCGCCTTGTCTTTGCCTCATGGCGACATGGCGCCAATTCGGCCCTTTGCGCGGCCTCAGCCTCTGCCAAGTGGTTGATGTCGAGCGATGGCGAGCTCAACCCACCTCCTGGTCGGCGCAGCTTCCCCACATTTGCTTGCTCGCATGGCGCAGCATCCTCGCCTCGGCCGTCGACATGCGGTGCTCACTGGCGACTGCTTTTCCAGCACCGCCAAGTCACCGACGTCCAAGGCATGCATGCAGGGCTTGCGTGCGTGTCGTGTGTAATGCCGCGCTGGCCTAGACTGCCTCCTTCCTCAAGGGCCGGTCATATTGAACCAAAGCCAAGCCCCGCATTTGCTCGCGCTTGAGCGTCTGGAGCCCGATGACGGAACGGTCACCGAAGCTCGTAGCACGCTTGCTACGATCCCGGTGTAGTTAGCGCCCCCGGAAAGCCGTCCTCCGGCTTATGAGCTGGCTTGATGGCGTGTCCAGTCACGCAAGACCTTCAAGATGAGCTGAGAAGAATGGGCAGGATTCACCTCTGCGATCGTCGGTACACGGCTGAGCCAATCCTTTGACTGCCCCGAACGTCGACTCACACAGCCTGAGCATGTTGCAACATGGCCAACGTATAAAGGGCTGAGCCTCGCTCGTCCAATCTAACCCGTCCACACCTGCATTATCTTCGCAAGCAAGAACTATTCCCAGTCCCCGTCTCTGCATACCTCTCCTCCCATCACAACAATGGCACCTGTCGCAGTGGAGCCTCGCCCCACCTCGCCCTCCGTGGCTTCGGGCTCGAAGGCCAACGGTAAGCGCTTTGCCGGCGCCTCTACCAACCGCGCGCACAACTACTCGTCCGAGCACTTTGACCTCGGCGCCCTGGCGACCGAAGACGACTACCCGTACAACGAATTCAAGCCATCCTTCCCCAAGGTGCACTGGGACGCGTACGAGCCCATCGAGCCGCCCACGGACCGCGGCCTCTTTGCCGACCCGGAGAAGAAGGCGCTGTTTGGCGCTGCCACGGCAGTCAAGGATCTGACGCGTACCATCGGTACCGAGCTCGAGGGCATCAAGCTCGGCGAGCTCAGCGACAAGCAGAAGGACGAGCTGGCGCTGCTCGTGGCTGAACGAGGTGTGGTGTTCCTGCGTGGTCAGGATGACTGGACCATCGAGCAGCAGCTCGAGCTCGGACGCTACTGGGGTCCTCTGCACAAGCACGCTACCACGGGTGTGCCTGCTCGTGGCGATCTGGACGAGGTGCACGTGGTGTACGCGCACCCGACCTCGGACCCCAACGAGAAGGTGTACCGTGGGCCCGTGCAGCACTCGCGCGCCGACCTGTGGCACTCGGACGTCACGTACGAGGTGAACCCTCCGTCCTACACGAGCTTCAAGCTGCTCGTCTCGCCCGAAGCTGGTGGTGACACGCTGTGGGCTTCTGGCTACGCTGCGTACGACCGCCTGTCGTACCCGCTGCGCCAGTATCTCGAGTCGCTCACTGCGATCCACTCGGCAGTGGACCAGGCCGAGGGCGCTCGTCGATACGGCAACACGGTGCGCCGCGAGCCGGTCGAGACCGAGCACCCGCTCGTGCGCGTCCACCCGGTGACCAAGCACAAGGCACTCTTCTTCAACCCGGGCTTCGTCAAGTACATCCCCGGCGTGCCCAAGGCCGAGTCGGACTACCTCGTGCAGTTCCTCACCAACCACGTCTCGTCGGCGAGCGACTTTAGCGTGCGCTTCAAGTGGAACGCCGGCGACGTGGCCATCTGGGACAACCGCACCAACATCCACTCGGCCATCTACGAGGATGTCGGTGTCTCCAGAAGACATGCCGTGCGCGTCGCCGTGCGCGGAGAGATCCCCACCGACAGCGAAGACGGCACCAGCCGCGAGGAGGAGTACTACAAGGCTAGGGGTTTCCGCGTCGACAGGAGCGTGCAGAAGGGCCAGCGCCGCCAAGCCGGCTACAAGGACTAACTTTGTGGCTCCCACTTGCATCCCTCTGAACCCACCTATACCCGCATAGCCACATCTGCATCGCAATCGACCGTTTCAAAGTACGAACAGCCCGCCTGCCTGCTGCCTGCTGTTGAGTGTCTGTCTGCCGCGGCGAGTTTGATGAGTGAGGATCTAACAAATCTCGGAAAATTGAGTCGATTTGCCTCCACATCCAAAACTGCTGCGCGCTGCTGCAAGACAGCAGAAGAAAAGCAGCAGTCAGCAGTGCAGCTGTCTGACTGAATCTGACTGAACCCTGTCATGCATGCCGCCTTTCGTCATCCGAGCAGCAGCGGCGGTGCTGAGACCGACAGCACGAGTAGCGGTGCCGTAGGCCCCCGTTCGGAAGAACTGAGCTTCGTCCGCTTCGATAGCTGAATCTCTCCTTCTCTTTCCACCACAACCGAGACCAAAGCACACACTACAATGTCGGACAGCGAGGTCAAGATCGGCAGCTACTTGCTCGAGCGCCTGGCGCAGCTGGGCACGCACAGCGTCCAGGGTGTTCCGGGCGACTTCAACATGGGCTTTCTCGATCTCATCGAGGACCACGCCCAGCTGCGCTGGATCGGCAATGCGAACGAGCTCAATGCGGCGTATGCCGCAGACGGGTATGCGCGCGTCAAGCGCACGCTCGGCGCCGTGGTGACCACGTTTGGCGTTGGCGAGCTGAGTGCGCTCAACGGTGTGGCCGGCAGCTTCTCGGAGCGTCTGCCGGTGATCCACATTGTAGGCGTGCCCTCCACGGCGGCACAGGGCAGCCACTCGCTTCTGCACCACACGCTCGGCGACGGCCGCTTCTCGGCATTCGAGAATATGAGCAAGGAGATCTCGGTGGACAGTGCGGTGCTCAAGCAGAAGGAGGGAGCCGGCGAGGCCATTGACCGCATCCTCGTAAGCGCGATGAGCAAAGCTCGCCCCGTCTACCTTGCTCTGCCTACCGATCTGGTGCATGCCACCATCCCCGCGGGCGCGCTCAAGACACCGATCGAGTACAGTCCGCCAGCCAACGACGAGGATGCGGAAAAGTACGTGCTGGATGTGGCTCACAACCACATCGCCAAGGCCAAGAGTGCCGTCATCCTGGTCGACGCATGTGCGGCGCGCCATGGATGCATCGAAGAGTCGCGCGAGCTCATCGAAAAGTCGGGCCTGCCCGTCTTTGCCACGCCCATGGGCAAGGCTATCATCGACGAGGACCACGCACAGTACGGCGGGATCTACGTGGGCAATCTGACCACCGAGCCGGTCAAGCAGGTGCTCGAGTCGGCCGACGTACTCATCATGCTTGGCTCGCTCAAGAGCGACTTTAATTCGGGCAACTTTAGCTACCGCACGCCGCGGTCGCGCACCATCGAGCTGCATTCGGACTACACCACCATCGGCTACTCGCACTATCCAGGCATCGGCATGAAGCGCTTGCTGCCCAAGCTGAGCGCCAAGCTCGCTGCGGGCGGGGAGAAGCGCCGGGAGGAGACGATGCAGGTGGTGCCCAAGTTCACCAACGTGCTGCCGGACGAGAAGGGAGATGCGATCAGCCAGGCGTGGTTGTGGCCTCGCATGGGTATGTTCTTCCAGCCCAAGGATCAGGTGGTGGTGGAAACGGGCACGTCGAGCTTCGGGATGCTCGAGGCCAAGCTGCCACGCGAGACGCGCTGGGTATCTCAGGTGCTTTGGGGATCCATCGGCTGGTCGGTGGGTGCCACGCTCGGTGTGGCGCTCGCCGCACGCGAACTGCAAATCGGCCGCACCCATCTGTTCGTCGGCGACGGCTCCCTCCAGTTGACAGTGCAGGAGGTGGGCACCATGATCAAGCACGGCCTCAACCCGTACCTGTTTGTGCTCAACAACGACGGCTACGAGATCGAACGCCAGATCCACGGCCCCCAGCGCAGCTACAACGACATCCAGCCTTACGACCACTCGATCCTGCTCGACTTTTTCTCGCGCCCCAAAAACGCACCGCAGTCGCAAGAGGAGAGCCACAGCAGGGATCCCAAGCCAAGCAACAAGCAGTACTACGCGGTCAAGACAAAGAAGGAGTTGGACGAGCTGCTGAGTGATGCGCACTTCAACACGCCGGATCGCATCAGGCTCATCGAAATCTTTGTTCCGCGCGGTGACGCACCCACTGCTCTCAAGCGCCAGGCCGAGGCGACTGGCTCAGCCAACAAGTACGACTAGCCTGCTTGTCCGTCCCGGGACGTGCTTCTTCGATGTGATTGTGTGATGTTGCTCTCAATTCCAGGTTCCAAACATTGATGCTTCATAGACGTGCGTGCCTGCTCATCCGCGCACACGCGCACAAAAAGGCAGAAAGAACGACGCTCGGTCGGTACACTGCTGGCAAATAAACGAATGTGATTTCCATGTGCCTCTCAGCCGACTAGGCTGCGGGCGAGACGGGTGCTTACTGGGTCTTGACGGTGAGCTTGGCGGGCTTCTCTGCATCCTCGCCAAAGATGTTGATGTCCCACTGAGGTGCGTAGGTGTAGGGGATGTTGAAGCGCACCTTGCCGAGCTCCTTGTACAGGCTGGTGACGGTCTCGTAGTCCTCGTCCTTGAGCTCGATCTGCTCAAAGTTGGACTTGATCCTCGACTCGGTGACGCTCTTGGGGATGACCGAGTAGCCACGCTTGACGCCCCAGGCGATGAGCACCTGCGCCGGGTCGGCGTTGTACTTCTTGGCCACCTCGGACACCTGCGGGTAGTCGACAATCTTGGTCTTGCCGCTGAGGTTGTTGCCGAGGGGCGAGTAGGCGGTGAGGTGGATGTTCTTGGCCTTGGAGTAGGCGACCAGGTCGTCCTGGGGCAGAAGAGGGTGAGCCTCGATCTGGTTGACGGCGGGCACGACGCCGGTGGCGTTGATGATGGCGTCGAGGTCGTTCTGGGTGAAGTTGGAGACGCCGATCGACTTGACCTTGCCGGCCTTCTGGAGCTCGATAAGCGCCTTCCAGGTGTCGACGATCGAGACCTCGCGGTCAATGTCGGTCTGCTTGCCGTCGGCGATCTTGGGGACGAGGTCCTGACCGGGCTTGAAGGCGACGGGCCAGTGGATGAGGTAGAGGTCGAGGTAGTCGAGGCCGAGCTGCTGGAGCGTCTCTTCGTAGGCGGCCTGGACGTTCTCGGGGCGGTGCGAGTTGTTCCAGAGCTTGGAGGTGATGAAGAGCTCCTCGCGCTTGACGACCGAGGGGATGATCTTCTTGAAGGCGCCGCCGATCTCCTCCTGGTTCTGGTAGATGCGGGCGAGGTCGAGGTGGCGGTAGCCGGCCTTGACAGCGACCTCGACGGCATTGGCGACCTCACCGGGCTTGGAGAGCCAAGTGCCGAGGCCGATCTGGGGGATCTTGTTGCCGTCGTTGAGGGTGACGTACTTGTTGAGCGACATGATGGTTATGATGTGTGGATATGTGTGGATGAAGGAGAGGCGCAGGTGCGTGGGCGGGCCCGGTTATATACTCACAAGAGGCCGTGACTGCTTTGGCTTCTTCTCGGATTCGCTGACGGCGGAACGCACGGTTCGCACGTCAGCTCCACTCGAGAGCTGAGCCAGTGCTGCACCAGCCAAGTGGCGTGGCCGTGGCGTTGCGTGATGGACCCCACTCAGCTCGGCACTTTTCGGCGCTTCCGTTAGATCCACCGAGGATCCAGCGGTGGGGGACCGCCTCCCTCCGCACCTCACTGTTGGCTCTTGGCCAGCACCCGGAGCGAGGCCGTGCTGCACGGGCCAAGGTGCCCGCCACTACGGTACTCAAATTTTCTTCCACGCCTTTCTTCCTACCAGTAACTGCCAGCTGGTCGGCTAGGCCGGCCGCGAATGACCTCATTTGCCGAGCCAACCACGAAATTCGCTTTTGCCCTCCAGCGACTGCAACGTGGAGCGTGTTCCGAGAAAAGCAACACTTTTCCTCAAAATTCGGCCCTGAAAATTGGCCTGAAAATTAGTGACCGAAAAAGGTCCGGCAGTCGTGAGGCCGACAACACCGACAACCGCAACGCACTTCTCCGCACCTCGTCGGCCCTCACCCCACGTTGACGCTGCCAGCCGCCAAACAGTTTCATGCCACAGCGGTCCGACGAGCTGCTCGCCATCATTGGTTGCGCTTGCATGCTGTTGGCCAGCACCGTGACTCGCCCTCCACGTCCTCCACAGTGCAACCTCCACACGCCCACACTCACTCCACATTCTAGCCAGCGCCATGAGAACCAGGCCGAGCCGCCCAAGGCACAAACATGCGTTTGACAGCGAGCGCAGCCAACGCTTCCGAACAGCCGAGCGCGTGGCGAACGGAAGTCGGCGACGAGCTCCACGATCTGCACATCAAACACGGCGTTGGTGCACGGCGTCGGGTGTATCGCCACTTGCATTGCCGGACCGATGAGCTACCGTCTGCCCTTGCCCTTGCGTGTGGACTTGGGGCGCATCTCGACATCTCCACCCTGCGCCTCGCCGCCCTCCTGGTCGATCTTTTCGCGCGCCTGGACGAAAAACATGAGATCGCCCACCTGTTCCTGAAGATCCGTCACCTGCGCCTGCAGCGCCGCCTCGCTCTCCTTGGTGCGCTCGAGCCGCTCCATGAGACCCTTGCTGATCGAGCGCTCCGAGTGCAGATCCCGCTCCAGCGTACGCGCGAGCTCCACAGCCTTGTCCGCCTTGCGCTCGCTCTTGTCCTTGTCCTTGCGCAGCGCATCGTTGGTACGCTCCAGCTCCGCCGTGCGCTGCTCAAGCTCATCGATCCGCCGCGACTTTGTCGAGAGCGAAGCGAGCTCGCCCGTCATGGCTGTGAGCTGCGCCTGGAATTGGTCCAGCTTGTCCTCGTAAAAGTGGCGTTGCGACTCGAGCTGGCTCGTGAGCAGGTACGAATACTCCATCCCGATCGCCTCGAGCTTGTCGTCCGCCGACCGGCTCGAGCCCGCACGCGGCGCGTCCGTTGCCCGCCGCCCCTCGTCGTCGTCGTCGTGCACTGCCTCATCGTTGTCATGAGCGTCCGAGCGAGTCCCACTGCCTCGTGCAAAGTTCGCAGGAGGGCCCGAGTATTTGGTGCCGCTCGTCGACATGGCCGACGCATAGCTCGCCGAAGCAGGCAGCGTGCGACTCCGCTCGGGCGTCGCCGTGGCCGACGAGGCCGAGGGCAACTCGACGAGTTTGCCATCCGCCTTGTTCTGGATCAGCCGGTGCACGTAGCCGTCGCCGGCATAGTCCCACACGCGCTGTGTCTCGAGCTCGAGGCTGTACAGGTGACCCGTCTCGCTAAAGTGCCGGTGCGCGTGGCCCTGCTTGTACCGGCCGCATCCCACCGACGCACACACCAGACACACCCACAGGTCCTGCTGCGTCTCGCACACGGCGCAGCAGCTCGGTTCGTCCGCATCGCTCTCGTCGTCCGATTCCACCTCGCCACGCCCGCCTTGCGAGGGCGTCGAGGGGTCCATGGACGTGCGTGGCGTCCTGCGCCGATGCTGCGCCGAAGCCTGGCCCGTCTGCGAGTATCGGCATACGGGGCAGCGCGACTCGCCCCATTTCGACAGGCACGAGCAGTGAAACGTGTGCTGGCACGAAATGGTCATGAGGCCCGTCACCGAGCTGTCCATGCGCTCTAGGCACACGGGGCACGTGGGCAGCTCGTGCCCCGCGTGGTTGGACGCGTTTGCGGGAGGGCGCAGAGGCCAGGGATCCGAGTTGGTCAGCGTCGGATAGCTGAAGGGCAGCGAGGTGTGCTTGGACACGGTGAGCGAGGTGATGTAGACCACCTGGCATATCTCCTGCGGGTCCATGGCGTTGAACGGCTGGCCGTTGAACATCTTGTGGAAATCTTCGGCGTCCTTTGCGTCGCGGAAGCGGATGAGCACCATGCATCGATTCGGATGCATGTCACGCACCATGCGCAGATGCGTGATCGCCTCCACGGCGGGCTCGATGAACGACAGAAAGTGAGATGCGGTGAGGTGCGACGGCACGGCCAGCACTGCCACGACGGTGCCCAGGTCGTGATCTGGAATCTGATTCTGCAGCTGTTCAGCTGCTGAAGTGCTGTTGCTCGGGATGGCGCTCTTGCCGGCCGGTGCTATTGGTGCGGACGAAGAAGACGCCATGGCTTCCTGCTTGTCACGGAAGAGGTGAACGATACCGAAAGCGACTTCGGTAGCTCCGATGGTCATGCCGTCGAAGCGCTCGGTGCACGAGGCGAGTGCGTGGCCTGCATCCTTCGACGACGATGAATCGCCCTGGAACGAGTCGGTCTTGTCAAAGGTTGCGACGGGCAGCGACACCTGCGGTTGCTTTGCATGAAAGACGTTCTTTTTCCTGTGCGGTTTCGCTCCCGACGTCTGAGCAGACGAGGACGAGGGCCCCGAGGCCACATCGGAAGGGCCTTGATCTGGGCCCTTCATATCTGCCATCGCCACAGCGACACTACGCTCGGCCCAGTCGATGCGAATGGGCCCGAAGCGGATATCGATGGGGGAGCCGAAGGATTTGGTGGATCTGTCGCGGTAGAGAAAGGAGCGCTGGGAGGCGGCTGCTCGGCCGTGATCGCCCTGCCAAGCCGAGTCCGGGAGATGCGCAAAGATAGCGTCCGGTACGATACGATTGTGACTTTGGAAAGGCGCCTGAGCTGCGAGCGCAGGATTGGGCTGAAAGAGCGAAAAGTGGACCGAGTAGGTTTCTTGCTGTTCGAGGAAGAAGGCAGGTTTGGCTGGCGCGGACTTGCGAGGCTTTGTGGGCATCCTGGTGACGACCACCTCGGCGGACACAGGCACGATACCGTTCGCGATCCAGCTAGCAAAGGAGCAGCTTTTAGATCGAGGCGAGCGAGCTACTGTGGCGGAGGCTCTGGCGTTGCAAAGTGGTAGCAGGTGATGAGGTGGTGACACTCTTTCAGAGTGCACTTGCAGCCTCCACCTGCAGTGCGGGTATGGACCCTGAGCTCAGTCGCCACTGCAACAGTTGGTCTGAGCAAGTCACGTGATGGGACCGGTTGCAACGCGCCGAGGCGAACACCGATTTGAAATTTGGCGCGCTCAGCAATTTGGCTCGTGTTGATCTCGGCCTGCAACGGCGCCTCTATTTCTGGTGCGACTTCCCTTCTTCTCTCGCCTTCGTACCACACCGACAGCAACGGAAAGCAATGGGATCGGCTTGTCACACTTGGGCGAGTAAGTTTGAGTGCCCGAATCGATGCTACCGTAGCGTGACTGTGGCATTGTCGAGAATCCGGAGCCAGGGTCCTGTTTGGAGTCGTCATGAGATGCGGCGAATCGAATGGCCGAGCGAGTGTCTCTCTGAGCCTTAATTTTCTCATGTACGACGGCGATGGCTCCAAAAAAATGCGATCGCCGGAGCTAGCTTTCGCCCGAACCGGTCAGTCCACGGTAAGGAGGACAATTCGACGTGTGTATGTTGAGTTTTCAGGGCAGACGCAACGGCTGTGCCTGTCCGACCTTTTGGCAGCATGCAGCGTAGATCCTCCTTGCGACCGACCTGCTGCACGACCATGCATCTCGCCGAACCACAAAACGCCCTTCCCCACCCAGGCCTCCACCTCGCCTGACCTCGGTGCCACAACCTGCCCGGCGCCTTCGAATCTGCTTCCTTTGCGCCGTGAGAATCTCGCTCTGCTCCGCTCGACAACGCGCTACAGTAGCTCATGTGCGCTTGTACCTCCCATTCAGGCAAGCCGTAGGCGCTCTTGCCACCCTTTCGAACCCTCGCCGAACCCTTGTTCGTCTCCGCCAGCGTCTCAGGCCTATACACACCTTCTCAGGCGTGTGTCATAGCCACCATGTCTTCACACGGTGTCGCTCATCCACGCTCGGCCGCTGGCACACCTACACAGACACGCCCTTCCTTCAGCACGGCTTGCGACCACTTTAGCCCAGGCAACTCGCGGCCCAACGCCATGTCGCGCTCTATCGACCTGGAAGCCACCGTCGAGACTTGGCTGGATGCGCTCAACTCGCCTCTCTCCACACCATCCGAGCGAACCTCGACGCTGAACGACATCGAGAGACTCCTCGTCAAGCTCACCAACCCTAGCTCTCGCTCTTCAGCTCTTGTCGGCCTCGATGGTGCTGCCACGTTCTGGTCTCTCCAGGCCACTGCTGGCTTCAGCCTGGCAGAGGCACTGATGGCGCTCGTCTACCGCCTCCATCTCGACCTGCAGCGCGAACACGAGCTACAAACGACACATGCATCATCCTCGCTGTATGCGGCCACCGATTCGGCTCCGCCACTCGATGGTCTGGGCATCCAGATGAGCAGAGCGCAGAACAGAAACTCCAGGGTGCCGGCATCGAGCATGTCCGAAGCGCAACACCAGCGTCTGCACGCTACCGTGTCCGAGATCTGCATTGCCATCACCATTTTGCAGGGGCTGACGCTGTGCAGCACGGCGAGCAAGCGCATCATGCGCCGCAAGTCGTCCTTGGAACTGCTACTTCAGATCGTACTCGCCGACTACTGCACACAGCTGCTTCCGCCCATCCTCGTGCCTGCATCACAAGCACTCACTCCCACCAGCCACTCGTTCTCGCTGCCTCCGACACCGTCGACGCCCGCATCGTCGTCGTCTTCGTCTCCGTCCAAGTCAACCGTGACCGCCTCGTCGAGCGCAGACTCGGTAGCAGAAGCGCCGCTGTCGCTACCCTCTGGGTTCGCACTCGATCTGTTGATGTGCGTTCTGGTCGACAGCCAAGAGGCGCAGGACCGCTTCGCCGAGATGGGTGGGATCCATCAGATTGTCCAGCTCAGCCACAAGTGCGCCGACACCGTCACTACGCCCGTCAGCACGCCCGTCACCGCCACCAGCCCGAGTCTGCGCGAGGCCGCCGCAACCAGCGCAGCGCGCTCAGGTCACATCGTGGCGCTCAAGCAGACCGACCTGCTGTGTCTCGAGTTCCGCTACTTCTGGTCGCAGCTGCTCAACAGCGAGCCGGCGCGCAGAGCGAGCCTCGACAACGTCGCCGGCACCAACTCGGCTGCGACGAGCTTCTACAGCGTCATGGATCCGCCCTCGACCGTGCTCGTAGAGGCAGAGACGGCTGCGGAACCAAGCACCCCCAAGGCGTCACTGAGGAAGAGAGCCTCCCGACGCGTGCTTGGGGGAAGCGAGACGCCGCTGGTCGAGACGCCAAAGGCTCGTGGTCGGGTACAGGCTCCTTCGTCGACACGAGCCACAAGCGAGGAGGCGCCTTCAAGGACACGCGCACAGCAAGAGGCCGAGGTAAATGCTTCGCCGAGGAGGCTGCGCCACAGCACGTCGGTGGCCGAGCTGCGCAAGAAGCCGTCGGTAGCCAAGAGCATGCCGCCCGTCCCGCCGCTGCCCATCTCGGAGTCGAGGGTGTCGACGGAGATCAAGCCCGACGCAGCTTCCATCGAGCGACGCCTGGCCTCACGACGGCCTGCGACCTCGGGCTCGAGCAGTGCATCTGTGCGTCCGAGTGCTTCCGCCTTGCCGGGAGGAGGTCAGCTGGGTGAGCGCGTGCGCAGGTCGACGGTCTCTGAAGCGTCCACTGCCGATGGCGATCGTCCGGATCGAATCAAGTTCAGCCCCACACGGCCGGGGATGTCTTCTCGAGAGCGACCGCGCATTCCGTCGCCGCTCAAGCCGCGCAGTGCAGCGCAGCAGGCCGCCGAACTCGACACCCAGCGACGCACCGAGGCGCTCAACAACCATGCCATCCCCTACCGCCGTCTGCGCGCCTCCACTGCCAGCACACCCTTTTCGCCCACTGACAACGCTGCTGCCGCGCAACGCTGTGCGGACGCCGAGAACTGCGACCCCTTCTCAACCGCCCCGACGCAAGTCAAGCCGCAGCAAGAGCCACGCAGCCAGCTGCGCTCCAAGCGATCCACCCATATGCTCCGAGAAAGCCCACAGCCCATGCCCGACGTTGTTGCAGATGCAGGTCCGATGCGCAGAAGCGATACGAGGGCGGGTATGGTCCCCAGCGAGTCGGCCTACAGCCTTGGCGTCGGGAGCGGGCCAGTCAAGCTCCCACCCAGTCCGGCGGTGAGACGCGCCCAGCTGGCGCGCGCACGCAGCTTGTCGCCCACCAAACTCACCCATCTCGGCGAGCGCCTGTCTGTTGCACAACCAGATCTGTAGTCCAAAAGCATTGCATCTTTATCATCACTTCCAAGCATCGGTGCGTGAGCGGAAGCCCCATCCTCCGATGTCAAGGTGATGGTTGCGCTTCGGAAGAAGATGTGAGATCTCCAACACGGAACAATGTGGCATTTTCGTGATCGGGATTTTCCCTGCGGCGGGAAAAAAGGCGCAAAAAAGAGCAACGCTGCTGCAGCGCGCTGGGTGCACAACTTTTGCAAACCGCTCTCTCCATCCTTACTTCTTTTCCACCACCACTCCTGGAAGGGTAAGTTACATCCCAGAGGTTTTGCACAGCACAGCAGTCGAAGGCGCAACGCACAACGGACGCAGGGGGGAACGATGATCAACCAATTTGACTACAGGAATCTCGTTAGTCCTAACACACTTTGCGGACACTCAAATTACCATTCAAGTTTCAGCCTTGTCTGACCCCCTTCTGCGTCCAAACCGCCAGCATCGCCTGCTGCAAAAGCCGCTTCATCTCATTCCTGTTATGATGAAGCACGACGCTGACCTCGCTTCTCTTCGTTTCGACCGCGATATAGATCTTCCACGCTGCCCAATGTCGAATCAAATCCATATCGAAGCTTCACCGTTCGTGAATCCAAGCCTGTGCCAGATACATTCCGTCCAACAAACGGGTCTTGTGAATTTTGATGGTGGTACAAGTACAATTGTGTCAAGAAATGTGGTATGAGCGCCCCACTGTGAGGGCTGTAAGGATCTTTTGAGTATGCATGTGCGTCTCGCCGTCAGTATCGCCACTGCGACGGCGGGTGCGGGGGAGGCGGGTTGGCAGGCGGGTACGCTGCAGCGCGCGGCGGCGGCGGGTATGGGTAGGCGTAGCGAGCGTCGTGCTGCATCTCGAGCGGCGGTGTCACACGCGGGTACGCATACCTGGCATCAGCCATGGGAGCATCCTCGCTGTACTTCGGCATCGGCGGCTCCTGGAACGCCGGGTATCCGTGCTGATACACAGGATAGCTGGGATGCGCATACGGATCGTGCAGAGCACGTTCGCGATCGTAGTCGAACTCGCGCGCGGCGCCGTATCCCGCCCTGGCCCCATAACCGGCATACGAAGGGGTTGCCAGCATGTTGGACCTGGGGTCGTCGCGCATGTTGTGGAAGCTACTTGGCACAAAGTCTCCAGCCTGTGCAGCGTCGAAGCCCATGGCAGGCGCCTGCTTCGGGCTCGATCGCATCCTGTCGGACTCGCCGTATCGACCATCGGCTTGCTGAGACTTGGAAGCCTGCATCGTCGACGGCTCAGCCTCGTCGATCTCTCCGTCCGGAGGATCCCGCTGAACGCGCCCCTTCTTCCACAGCCGAGCTCCCGGCGGCGGAGGCTTTTTCCTCTTCCTCTTCCTGTCACGCGGCTGGTCCTGGACGAGCTTGGAAGAAAGTGCCGGACTGGGCGCCCTACTGGAGACCATCGATCTAGCGCCGTCTCCGACCTCGGCGGGCGTCTGCAACCCCGAAGCCGCGGCACTAACGTCTGTTGCGTCTTTCGATGCAGCTGACTGGTTGGCCAGGCGCAGCTGCCGCGCCCACAGACTCTCGTCTGCATCGCCGTCAGAGTCGCTGTCCGCGCCGAGCAGTGAGACCGCTTCGGACACCAAGCCGTCCGCATCCGAGATGATCACGTCGATGTCAGCCAGGCTCGGCACGCGCGGCGAGCTGCAGACGGAGCTGAATGACGGCAGCGACGAGATGCCCGACTCGGACGACATGTAGGAGGAGTCCGAATCGTAGTCCTCGTCCCAGTCGGACGCTTCCGACGAGGCGATGGACATCGCCTGTTCGTTGGCCTCTCCGTCGCCAGGGAGCGCAGCTTCGGACGTGGGCCGATCCGCATCGTCGATCTCCTCCTGAGCACGCTCGCTCTTTCGCGTTCGTCGCTTGTGCTCTCGCCAAGCCTTCTGCATCTTTCGAAGGTCTGCACGGACCAAGGGATCCTCGATCTCCGCGTTTCTCGACGCGGACAAGAAACGTCCAAACTTCTTGTACAGAGCCACGCTGTCCGGATCTTCGACACCAGCGGTTGGGGGAGCCCAGATGTTGTGCGTAAGCTTGGCGTAGCCTCGCGTCTTTCGGCGATGCACGGCCAGCAGATCGAGCTCCATTTCGGCCTGCCATCGCGCATGCCTGGCCTCGAACGCGGCCTCGCGATACAACGGACCAGCGCGAGCGTCGATGTAGTTCGACCAGGCAAGCTTGCGGTCGCACGTCCAGATGCGTTCAACCTCGGCCTTTCGCATCTCAAGCTGCAGTCGCAGTCGCGACAGCTCGCCCGCTCGCCATTCGTCCACAACGTCGTCAAAGTTGGACAGGTAGCGGATGCTCTCGTACAGCTCGCCGCTGGCTTGCATCTCCTCGAGGTACTCTGCTTCCTCGCGAGCGTAAAGCTCCTCGGTATCGAGTGTGTCGAGGGGGTCAAGTCGGTCTGGGGCGAACTTGCAGAAGCGCTCGTAGCGCTCCCGGTCGGCGCGCTCAGCCTCGTCGCTGTCATCTTGGCCCGTCTCTTCGTGCCAGGGCGCAGGGAGATCAAAGGCGGCGAGCTCAGCGATCTTGGTCAGGCGGTCCAGCTCGGTCGTGTCGAGCTTCAGGTTGGCGGCGGCGCAGGCCTGCAGGATCTGAGACGCCATCTCGTCCTCATCCGTCCAGGCCTGCATGTACGAGGGCACTGGCGGGGTTGCTGGGATGCGTGGCGGTGTCGGCGAACGCGCCTTTGGGCTGGGGCCGCTCATGAGCGCTGAGATGGACATGATGTTGGAGCGGGCGGGCCTGAGTACCGGCGACATGGGTTCGTCCTCGATACTTTCCGCTTTGTGGCCCCACGAGTAAGGCTGATCGCTTGCGTAGCTCGGATACGGGCCTTGTGCGTAAGAGGCGGAGATGTATGAGGGCGCAGTGCCGTATGTCGCGCGAGCCGTGTCCATCAGAGCGACCTCGGGCGAAGATTCGGGAGAGAAGGGCGGGCGTGTATGAGACGCAGCCGCATTTGTCAGCTGAGGCGACTGAGGAGGTTCCGTCTTGACAATGGTGTCGTATGCAACGGACTCGACAGCGCCAGGCTTTTGCGGCTGATCGTAGCCTGATGCGGCGGGGTTGAGGATATCGGACCGCGTCGCACTGGTTTCGAGACTATGGGCGGTGTCATGCGCGAGAAGAGGGGCATTGTTATGCGAGTCGTCAATTTTGTCCGCCGGCGGAGGTGACGCAAAGCGGGCGCGAAGCTGCTCGAGCGACTGAACAGGCACCATATCGAGGTCGGCCTGGAGCTGGTAGGAAAGAATGCACAGCTGACGATACAGCTCTGATTTTGCTTCATCGTCCGGGCCGTCAGGATCAACTTCCTTAGTCTTGTTCTTGGCTGCTGAGCGCTTGCCTCTGGCGGGCGCGCGATCGGCAGGCGGACGAACGGTTCTGCCGCCGGAGCGAGTGCGTCGGTCGGTCTCCTTTGCATTCATGACGAGGTTCTCGAGGTAGGGCGAGAAGCCAAAGAGCGCCAGATTGGGGCCGGAGGTGTTGTCGGACGCTGTTGCGGTGACGGCTTTCGCCACGCGTGCCGATCTTCTGCGGTCGCTCGCGTCGATGCTCGGAAGCGCCAACACGGCAGCTGTGGGTGTTGCGGCAGCATTGCGTTCACGCCTGCGACGTTTGGAACGGCCAGAGGGCGTGCGCGTCGGTGTCGTGGCTCGAGACGACTGTGCGGTGATGTCGAGGGAGGGGTGCTTCAAGCCGAGCAAGAGCGAGGGCGGAACGGGCGTGGTGGCAGCACTGCGAGATCGAACGGAGCCGGGATGTGGGCTTCGGATGGCTGAGGCCTTTTTGGTTCTCTGGTGCAGAGCCGTCAAGAGCTCTGCGGCAGCAGAGTTGACATTGGCATCACTGGGCGAGCCATGTTTTGGGATGCTCGACAAGGCTTCGGAGGCGAGTTGGAGCGTGCTGATAGTCGAAGTCGGCTGCGGCGTCTGAGCGCTTGGAGTCGACTGTTGCGAGGCAACGGCGGTGGAGAGCGCCAGAGAGATGCTGTCTTTTCCCGGGGTCGGCTCGTCTGGGGATTCGACCTCAACGTGGACCTGTAATGGCGCATCGCTCTGCATCTCGTTGAGCGCTTCCGACGCCGGCTGGGATGGCGGTGCGGCGTCTTGCACAAACGATGCTGCCGTCAAGGACGGCGATGCAGCTTGGCCTGCAATTCCATTCTTGTCTGTCGCCGACGGCTTCGACAGCGTGTCTGATGAGGAAGACGCTTTCGTGGATGCTGTCAAGCCGGTACGCGACTCGGCACCCGATTCCAAATGATCGACAGCTTGCTCATCAGCTGCAGCACGAGAGAGGGGAGAAGCGAATGTGGTGTGGTTGGTGGCCGGTGCGATTGAATCGGTCAGCGGATCGGATGTGGACGCGTTCGATCGGAGATCGGATTTTGCGAGGTCGACGCCATCGGATGCACCACCACCTGCGAGGCGTGGCGAGGATGGAGGAATATTGACCGAAATGGAATTTTGGCGGAGCGGGGCGAGATCGGAATTTTGGAGTGCATCGTCGGACGGATTTGAAGAGGCACCTGCGGAGTGTGTCTCGGCGGCGGCAGCGGGTGTGGATGGTGGGCTGCGGGCACGAGGGATTTGGAAATTGGACGCGTCGCAGGAATCAGGATGAGCGGCTGCAGCCGAGGCAGCCGAGCTGCGGTCCAGGACGCTGGATTCGGCCGGAGCAGCCGGCGCAGCAGCAGAAGCAGATGACGAGGCGGAAAGATCAGAGATCGGGGCGTCGCCGTCGAGCGGCCGCCCTTGCTGAGCGTCGTCCGCGTGGTTGGCAGGAGAGGGGCGCTTGTCGGATTCGTGGACGGGGTCGCCGGCGATGGTGACGGCGAGATTGACGGAAGGGGCAGCTGGCGTGTCGGAAAGGGCGGCGGCTGATGCAGCCGGGCTCATAGGAACCGAGCCGGAGGGCGCGGATGTGGTGTCGTCTGTGCTCGTGCGTGTGGCGGCGGATGAGTGCGGGAGGGGGTGGGTGGAGATAGGGGTTGTTGCGGCGATGGGGGTAGGAACGAGGGTGGGGGAGGTGGTGTTGAAGGAGGATGGTGATGGAGGAGGGAGGAAGGCTGAGGAGGCAGCAGGTGCAGGTGCGGGTGCGGGTGCGGGTGCAGGTGCAGAGTCGGTGGTGGCGGAGGTGATGGCAGCGGCGGGAGGGGTTCGGCTCCGATTCATCCGCTTGGCAGGCGGCGCTGAGGCAATGAAGATGCTGTCGGTGCTGGCGGCGCTGCTGATCAGGCACTGGGGTGCAGTGGCGGGATCGGCGGCGAGGTCGGACCTCGGCACGCTGACGCTGAGGCTCTGGCGCTCTGCAGCGGCGTCTGCAGAGATGCTCGACGCCGAGGCGTGCACCAACGGCGCGATGCTGGATCCACCAAAGCCAAAGCTGATGGACGTCGGCGCTACCGAAGCGGCAACGAACTGAGCGGCGGAGGATGTGTCTGCGGCGCCAGTGCCGTTGGTGACGCCTTGGTCGGCTGGCTGCGACGGCGGAGTTGAATGCGCTATAGTGGCTGGTGGTGCCGACGACGATGATGTTGACGCCGGCGCTGGCAGAGTGAGGGCTGAAGGTGGAGAAGGGGATCGCTTGCGTTTTCTGCTCTGCACAAGGTCGTATAGCGTGGCGGCGCCGGAAGTGGATGCAGCGGCAGAGTCGGCTGAGACTGTCGCTGTAGACTGTGCAACTGAGCTTTGTGCAGGCGCATGATTGCTGCTTGGCGCGTCGTGTGCGACCAGCGAGTCTGTTTGAGGCTGCGCAGTGTCTAGAAGAGATGCAGCCTCAGGTGTGTGCGCGCTGATTGGGGCCGAGGAAGGCGAAAGGAGGGGAACGACAGGCGCTGGGGAGTGCTGAGACTCGGAAGGCGGAGCGCCATGGCTCGGAAGCGCCGAGGCTGTGGGCGACGGCTCGTGACCGGCGCCTGTCTCGACTTCCTCCGCAGAGGAGCCTGGCGGGGTGGTCATGTCCGAAGTGGGGGAACAAAAGGGGCGAGCGCAACGATCATGGAGACACACTATTTACACAACGAGGCGCGGCAAGGGGGTGATGGTGACGAGGAAGGAGAAGGAGGAGGAAGCTCGTCAAGTTGCCGAAAGCACGGCGATGTGGATGCGCGAGTAGAGAGTGGTGCTGGGTGCCGCGTGTTTGTGCGGGCAGGCGTGCGGGCGGGAGATCCAACTGCAAGGCTGGGCGCAGACAAAAGGCACTCGGAGGCAGAGCCAGAGCTACAGTGTACCGTACAGCAGCTGGCAACGCAACCCAGCCGAGTGTGCCTGCCAAAGCCAAAAATTGCGCGTTGGGCGAGCGAGGCGGTACTGTAGCGGCCAGTTGCAAGATGCAGCCAAGATGCAGCCGATTCGGAAACGCCAACCTAGCGTCGTAGCAGAGGCAATCAAATGACAGCGCAGTGCACAAGCAAGCTTGCGACACCGATGAATAGGTAGAAGGAGTCACAACGATGCACCGAACGGCGGCGACAAGCCAGGTAGAGCGGGGAGGGGAGCGGGCAGCAGACGATGGAGATGAAGATGGATCGCAGCAAAGCAGGACGGGAGATGAGAAGCCGAAGGGAGAAGTGCATGACTCTGTGTGACAGACCGTCAACAGCGCGGAAAAAAAGATTAAAATAAAATGTAAAAAATGAATGCTTTGCCAAAGCGCAGCGAAAGCCATGCGACGTGTGCATCCGCTTGCAGGGGTCTGTCTCCCCTGCTCCAACTGGAGCACAGCGTCAGCCAAGGGTTCTGGTCTGCAGAAGTCGACCGCTCGCCTTGCACCACAGCTCAGCTGGCTCGACGCATTTCAATTCGCACAGCACGGCTAAGCTTCTCCGCAGCTTTTGCCTCACCCTCCCCAAAGCCTGCTCACCCGATGGCCTTCATAGTCCCGATGGTATCCATGATGCTCGCCAAAAAGCCGATCTCTGCCCGATTCGTCTTCACCCGATGCACTTGGCACGCTGGTGCGCACCTTCGCGAGCTCCCTCCCCTCAGGGACCTGTGTCGAGCCGGTGATTGGCGGCCACCGACATTCATGCGGTCGTGTGATCGTCTTTGCAGCACCCCATTCGTATCGCTGCGTCACAGTCGAGAGCGTCAAGGACGTTGGCGGTCAATGGCTGAATCTCTGCATCCACAGGCCACGAGGCAATGCCGCATCGGAGCTAATGCGCTGCAGGATTTCGCGCTGCTTTCTCTGCGACCAAAAGGAGCATGTGAGGTTGCCGCTCTTCATCACGCCTCGATTTCCGTTGGGATGTCCGCGAATATGTCTCAATCATGAAGCCGCAACTGCTCGCCCATCTCTGCTCGTGGGTGGAGCTAATGCGGATTTTTTTTTCGATTTTTTTTTCTTTTCTTTTCGTGGAATTCCTTATACCCGAAGCCAGCTGCGAGCAAAAAGGCTTACAGAAGGCGACATTTCGCGAATCCGAGGAGGCCGTGAATCAGCGGTCTCGGCGGATTTCTCGGTGCAGCTGCCAAATCCAGTGCGAGACTTCATCGTGTCCTGCAGGACCCTCTGCCGTGGTCCTTGCTTTGCCCGTGCCCGGCATCCACCAGCTTGCTTCTCGACCTTCATCTTGCTCCCTACTCGCCCGCCGTCCACCACCGCTACATCTTCACGGGCCTCTCGACACGACGTGGCGCTGCTGCCGACCGCTTGCTGGCTAGCTGCTTGGGCGTACGCCGCCATCAGCTGTGCCCGTCGGCCTTGGGCGTGTGGATCCTAGAACGGCCATCGCTGCAGTCATCGCAGCATCCACCTGCCCATCATGGGTCTCCTCTCGCTCGGAACGCCGATGGAATGGAAGGATGCCCAGCCTCTCGCCTCGCACGTGCGCAAGCATGGCATCCAGCAATTCCTCTCGCTCTGGAACAAGATCAAGGATCGCCGCGGCGACATTCTGCTCTGGGGAGACGAGATCGAGTACATCGTCGTCTCGTTCGACGAAGAGACCAAGAATGCAAAGCTCTCGTTGAGGCAGGAGGAGATCCTCAAGGTGCTGTCGGCCAGCGACAAGGAGACGCGCGCGTCGGTGCCAGGCCTCGCGGGTCAGATCCCCACCTTCCATCCAGAGTACGGCCGCTTCATGCTCGAGTCGACGCCAGGCTCGCCGTACGGTGCGAGTCCCAAGGAGCTTCGAGGCGTCGAGCGCAACATGCGTCTGCGAAGGCAGATCGCCCGTTCGCACCTCAAACCCAACGAGCTGCCCATCACGCTTACCTCGTATCCGCGTCTCGGCGTCACCGATGCGCCGTTCACCGAACCGCACTATCCGGCCAACGGCAACGCGTCGCGCTCGCTCTTCCTTCCGGACGAGCTGATCAACCCGCACGCACGCTTCCCTACGCTCACCGCCAACATCCGCAAGCGTCGCGGCTCCAAGGTGGCCATCAACATGCCCATCTTCAAGGACGTCAACACGCCATCGCCCTTCATCGACCCGAGCATTCCCTGGGATCGCGATCTGTTCCCCGAGGATGCCGAGGCCAAGGCGGGTGCGGCTAAGCCCGACCACATCTACATGGATGCCATGGGCTTTGGCATGGGCTGCTGCTGCCTCCAGGTCACCTTCCAGGCATGCTCGGTGCAAGAGGCGCGCACCGTGTACGACCAGCTCATCCCGGTCGGACCTCTGTTGCTCGCTCTCACAGCGGCATCGCCCGCCTACCGTGGCTACCTTGCCGACGTCGACTGCCGATGGGACGTCATCTCGGCTGCCGTCGACGACCGTACGCCGCAAGAGAGGGGTGAAGCGCCCCTTCCGCTCCCGGGTCACACGCCACGCGGCGGCCTGGACAGGGATGCAGACAAGATCCCCAAGTCGAGGTATGACTCGGTGGACTCGTACATCTCACAAGACCCTCTTAACCGACGCTGCTACAACGACAATCCGCTGCCCATCAACGACGATGTCAAGGAGCAGCTGCGGCAGGCGGGTGTGGATGATCTGCTGTCCGACCATCTGGCGCATCTGTTCATCCGCGATCCGCTCGTCATCTTTAGCGAGATGGTGGACCAGGACGACGAGACGAGCACGGATCACTTTGAGAATCTGCAGTCGACCAACTGGCAGACGATGCGCTTCAAGCCGCCACCGCCCGGTGGGCGCATCGGCTGGCGCGTCGAGTTCCGCAGCATGGAGGTGCAGATCACCGACTTTGAGAACGCGGCGTTCTCGGTTTTTATCGTGCTGCTCACGCGCGCCATCCTGAGCTTTGGACTCAACTTTTACATGCCGCTCACCAAGGTGGATCAGAACATGGCGCGTGCACACAAGAGGGATGCGGTCAACACCGAGACGTTCTGGTTCCGCAAGGAGGTCTACCGCACACGCAACAGGCATGCATCGCGCCAGGCGTCGCGGCAGGTGTCGCGCGCAAGCTCGGCGGAAAACCTTCAGAACAGCGTCAACGGCAATACCAATGTTGGGGCGGGTGGCAGGTCGAGTCCGAACAGCCTTGCCTCGTCCGACTCGGAAGCCGTCGAGGAAGAGTACGCCGAGTTCACCATGGACGAGCTGATGAACGGCAAGGGCGACGAATTCCCCGGTCTGGTTGGACTCGTACACAACTATCTCGACAGCCTCAACATTGATGTCGAGACGCGATGCGAGATGGGACTCTACCTCGACCTGGTGTCGCAGCGCGCGAGCGGCAAGCTCATGACCACCGCCACCTGGATCCGCCAATACGTGCGCAACCACCCGGCCTACAAAGGCGACTCGGTGGTGAGCCAGCAGATCAACTACGACATGATCAAGCAGCTCGACCTCATCGAGCGCGGCGAGGTGGATGCGCCCTCGTTCCTGCCCAAGGGATATGCGCAGAGGCGCAAGGGCCACGAGGCGCAACCAAGCCTGAAGGCGTAGACAAGCATCGGAGCAGGAATGAATTATTGACCACAGCAATGCGCGGTGTGCCCAGTACGTCAACTGCATATACGAGGCTGAGAGATGTGTTGAAGAAAGGCCTCCAGTGCGGGCGAGGGTGTTCGGGTGTGAATCCGGCAGCTGCAGGACCCGTTGGGCCGGGAGGGCAAGGTAAAGAGAGATTTCGAACTGCAGCTGGGACGTGGTCGGCAGCTTCAGAGTCGCAGAGCTGCAGAGTCAAATGTGGAGGTGCGAACACCAAAATTCGAGGCAGCACAGCAGCGTGGAACGGAGCGCGATCCGGTTTGGAATGCACGATGACTGATGGCAGACCCCAAAGCGGTGTCTGTAGCGAAGTGGAAGCTTGCCTAAAGCTTGACACGAGTGCTTTCGTTCATCCCTTCTTCCCGCCGCGACACCATCTTTCTTTCATTCTAGATTAGCCTCACATCTCGCAACATGGCGCCGTCACTCAAGATCTCGGCGGGTCCCTCAGTGGATGCACTCAAGACCGTAGCTGTGAACCACGACGATCAACCGACTTCGATCGACACTGACCTCTTCCAGGGCCGCATCTCGGTGCGCATCAAGAACTTCACCGGCGTCGATCCCGATGGCGTAGACCACCGCAAAGACACCCCTTACTTTGATGGAGGCTATGCCAAGGGCATGAGCTGGAGCATGCAGATCCAAGGTCGCTTCAAGGTGGACGTCAACGGAGACGATCTTATCTTTGGTAACGAATTCGACCGTCCTATCAAGGACCACCTTCCCTACGGCACGAGTGTGGCACTTCAATTCGCCAAGGTGGTCGATCCCAACCTTGAGCATGATTTGTATGCGGATCGTCCACATGCTTGGAGTCCATACCTCGCTACAATGCCCCGAATCAGTTCGCACCAAGTCGAATCCGACGCATCAATCGACAGCTGGCCTGCGTTCCCGGCTGCTCCAGACTACATTCAGGAAGACATTTCGAGTCTGATTCCGGAAGAGCTGGCCGAAAAGGAGAAGGATACCGTGGCGAACTTTAAGGGTATTGATAAGGCGCACGAATACCGACAACGCTTCATGGGTAACCGCGCACATCGACAGGAAATCACCATCAAGCCAGACCAGATCATCACCGCCGACTTTGTCAACGCCTACATCGACTTTAACGACCTCACCCTCCACATCCCCTTCTCCGGTGGCCTCAAATTCGACCTCAAAAAGTACTGGGACGGTCAACCGGTGCGCTACATCTGCAAGGACCGCAAAAACGACCGCGTCTTCTTCGTCATCCAGTTCGACATTGTCGATCTCAACCAGTAGAATCCCCCCGTCCACCTGTATTGCCATCCTGCACACGCTGAACATTTGATCGATACATCTGCTCGATGATGTGGTAGAGAGTGCGCTAGAAATACAGATGAGGTGAGAACAGAGAGGGTTTTTACTTGCGGTACTGCGGCGGAACGTCTTGGCCGCCCTCGTCCTTGGTGGGTGCGCGGTTGTGGTAGGCGCGGAAGCTGTTTTCCCACTCGACGTATTCGCGCCAGTACTTGTCCAGCGCCTCCTCCTCGGGCGACTTGGCTGCTGCTGCCGGCTTCGCGGCTGCTCCTGCTGCTGTGCTGCGGTGGCCGGTCTGGGGTGAGGAGCCGGCGGGTGACGAGGCGTGTGGTCGACCGCTGCTGCGCGGCTGGTTGGAGTAGGGCTGAGCGTTGCCGGCGTCCGTGGGCGGCGGAGGCGGAGCGTCGTCTTCGGGCGGTGGCGGCGGTGGAGCACCGTCTGGCGTGGGCGGAACGGGATCGCCATTGTGTCTCTGCGAGTATGGTTGCGAGGCCTGCTGATTCCATCCGCGCTGCTGCTCCCAGCCTGCGTGCGGAGATTGGTGTCCGTACCCACCGGCTCCGCTCGGGCTGCCACCTCGCCCATGTGGCGCTCCACGGCCGTAGCCGCCGCCGCCGCCGCCGCCCCTACCCGCACCGCCTGCGTACCCACCGTATCCGCCCTGCTGCCCGCCGGGCCCACCACCGTATCCGCCGTTCATGGCGTCGAACGCCTTCTGCCACTCTGCACGGACGACCTCCATAAGGTCGTCGGCGAGCGCCTTTGCTGCCTGGATCTGGTCGTCCTCTGGCCCAGCGATGGCGATGTGCATGGGCTCAGGCAGCTCGGTGCCAGTGTCGCTCTCGATGAATCCACTGCCCTGGCCCTTGATCTGTACGCGTGTTCCCGTCTCGCTCTGGATGTACTTGACAAACATGCCGCCGGGACCTACGATCTTGGAGCGCATGTTGAAGTTGCGGATGCTTTCGAGGTTGATGGGGATCTTGATTTCTGGCCATCGGCGTCGCTCTCTCGGTGGCGGGCGCTGATTCTCGTAGTCGAGACGGCGCTGGTGGCGGTCTTCGACGAGCTGTGGCATGTCCTGTGCCATGAGCTCGTTGACCTTGGCGATGGCGGCATCGAGGATCTGCTGCGAGATGGCGCTGATGTGGAGGTAGAGTGGCGGGTCTTCCTTGGTGGCGAGCGCCTTGTCTGGGTACCATGTGCCCTTGGTTGTGATGCTGGCTCCGGTTTCGCGGTGGATCTGCTGCTGTGTTTGGCCTCTTGTGAGGACGTACCGGTTGCGCTGGTCGTTGATCTCGATGTCGTGGGTGAAGTCCGCGTCGTGTGCGTCGCGCGTGGCATCCTTGTTCTGCGCTTCAGCAGAAGAGGAGGCAGATTGGTTGTTTGCGGATGAAGATGGCATCTGAGCGGCGAGCTGTGCTGCGATCTTGGCGGCGGCGGCTGCAGCGGCAGCGGCAGCGTTGCCCGAGGATGAGGAGGAGGAGGGCTGTGCGGAAGAGGCCGAGGCCTCCGCGTTGGCAGAGTCCCATCGGCTTGACATGGCGGCTGTTTCTGTGTCCGTGGTCGCCGCGTCTGTTCAGATTGTGCGCGGATGTGTGTAGGCAAGGGTGACAAGGATTGAAGAAAGTCAAAAGCAGAAGAGAGCATGAGAGGCTGCGCCGACTGGACCCTGTGGAGAGCGAACTTTTCGATCACAAAAATGTGCTTTCACAAAGGAGAGGTGATCTAACATTTCTGAACTGAGCGATTTCCTTTGCGCCATCGATTGCAAGATCTCCGTGCAGCTGGAAGTTGGTCGAGATGGCCGGACCGCAACCCGAAACACGCCTTGCCCTCGAGAAGCGTCCAGCTAAAGGCATGCATTGTAGATCTCCGCTTTGGATTCGCATGTCGTGGCGCCGTTCGGAAGCTTGACGGTAGCAGCCGGTGTTGTCGGAGATCTGTGTCCAGAAAGATCGCTGATGAGCTCGAGTCGCTGGCTAGATATGACCAGCCCAGTCATTCGCAGGAAAGTCGAGGACGCAAAGTACTCGCTGTCACACGTGTCACAAGGCGGTCGGAAGGGGCCGTCACTTTGGGAGTGACGATACGCAATGCTCTCTCTGGCCACACTTTGTGATTGCGCACATCAGCGATCCAACGTCACACAGAGTGGGGGCGCGGCCAAATTCCGGGAGAGCGAAGCGATTTGCGCGGTCCGGGCGTTCCGTCGCTCTGCGAATTTGTGGATTTCAAGAAGGACGGCTTGGCTGACGGTCATCTGCAAGGCTGATGGGCTGACAGGCGCACGGCCTCGCCAACTGGCCAATTTCACCGCATCGGCACTGCGCTCCACCGCGAACAGTCCGACCTGGACGTGCGTTGCCCCCCAACACTCTGTCGCCGCTGCCGTCCCCCCAGCTTCGTGCACACCCTCGTCTTCGTTCTTCCATCACCATTTAGGCGACCTTCCCCAGTCCCCCCTTCACCACTTCCTGCAAATCCTGACAAATTCGACCATGGCTCACAAGCTCACCTCGTCCCTGCCCGCGTGGCAGAAGCTGCAGCAGCTCTACGAGACCAAGGGCAAGCAGATCAACCTCGGACAGGCTTTCAAGGCCGACTCGGAGCGCTTCAACAAGTACTCGCGAGAGTGGAACTCGAGCAACACCGACGCTCGCCTCCTCTTCGACTTCTCCAAGAACCTCATCGATGACGAGGTGCTCGACCAGCTCCTCGCCCTCGCCGAACAGGCGCAGGTCAAGCAGCAGATCGACGCCATGTTTGCCGGCGTGCACATCAACGCCTCCGAGGGCCGTGCCGTCCTCCACGTCGCCCTCCGCGATGTCCCCGGCGACTTCAAGATCAACGAGGCCGGCGTCGACGAGGTCAAGCCCGAGCTCGAGCACATGAAGAAGTTCTCCGAGGCCGTCCGCTCCGGCGCCCACAAGGGTTACACCGGCAAGGCCATCAAGAGCATCGTCAACATCGGCATCGGCGGCTCCGACCTCGGACCCGTCATGGTCACCGAGGCACTCAAGCCCTACTCCAAGCGCGACCTCGACGCCCACTTTGTCTCCAACATCGACGGCACCCACATGGCCGAGACCCTCCGCGTCTGCGACCCCGAGACCACCCTCTTCATCGTCGCCTCCAAGACCTTCACCACCCAGGAGACCATCACCAACGCCACCACCGCGCGCGACTGGTTCCTCGAGCACGCAAAGGACAAGGCGCACGTCGCCAAGCACTTTGTCGCCCTCAGCACCAACGTCAAGGCCGCCACCGACTTCGGCATCGCCGAGCAGAACATGTTCAAGTTCTGGGACTGGGTCGGCGGCCGATACTCGCTCTGGTCCGCCATCGGCCTTTCCATCGCCATCGTCATTGGCTACGACAACTTTGAGCAGCTCCTCCTCGGCGCACACGAGATGGACCTCCACTTCAAGAACACCCCGCTCAAGGAGAACCTCCCAGCCCTCCTCGCCCTCCTCGGCATCTGGTACATCGACTTCTTCGGCGCTCAGTCCCAGGCCATCCTCCCCTACGACCAGTACATGCACAAGTTCGCCGACTACTTCCAGCAGGGCGACATGGAGTCCAACGGCAAGTTCATCACCAAGAACTCCGAGCGCGTCGACTACCAGACCGGCCCCATCATCTGGGGTCAGGCAGGCACCAACGGCCAGCACGCCTTCTACCAGCTCATCCATCAGGGCACCAAGCTCATCCCCTGCGACTTTATCGCTCCCGTCCAGACCCAGAACCCGCTCGGCAAGCACCACGAGATCCTCCTCTCCAACTTCTTCGCACAGCCCGAGGCTCTGGCTTTCGGCAAGTCCGAGGCCGAGGTCAAGGCCGAGCTCGGCGCAGAGGCTTCCAACGAGTTCCTCGTCAAGTCCAAGGTCTTCGAGGGCAACCGCCCCACCAACTCGATCATGGTCAAGAAGCTCACCCCCGCCACCCTCGGCGCACTCGTCGCCATGTACGAACACAAGATCGCCGTCCAGGGCTTCGTCTGGTCCATCAATTCCTTCGATCAGTACGGAGTTGAGCTTGGCAAGATTTTGGCCAAGAAGATCCTTCCTCTGCTTGAGGGGACCGATGCTAGCAAGGTTGATGGTGCGGGACACGACTCGAGCACCAGCGGACTGCTTAAATACTTCCTCTCCAACCGCAACTGACTAGCCAGCGACAACCGCAGTCGCATCTAGTCCACATTGTAGCGACGTTCGAACCTAGCTTGTTGAATTCGATCCCTTCCCGCTTGACTTGGTCTAGATTGTGGTGATCGTGAACGGCGAGGCAGTATCAAAGGCGTGGCGGTATTGAGGGTCGTGGTGTCAGCAGACGCGGGTTGGCGGAGAATTACCGCGTTGCGGGTTGTCCGATTTTCCCGCCGCGGACCCTGTGGGCAGCAGGCAGCAGACACCCATGTCCGAAAATCCAAAATGCCCCGCATGACAAATTCGCCGACACCAACACGCGCGCTCAACACCAGACGCTTCCGCATCCGCATGCGCATCCGCCCTCGTGTCCGTGTGTCGTTGTCGCGGCGGACGCTCCTGTCGAGGGCAGATCCTCCTGTCGGCGGCAGAATCTTCCGTCGACGGCGAACCCTGCCGGAGGGCGGACCCTTTCGGCGGCGACCCCTACCGACGCGGCCGATTCCAAGCGCTTCCGCATCCCGCACTGCCGTGACCATGCGGGGCTGGGGTGTCGAGGCGGACCTGTCGGCGGCGACTCCTCCTGTCGTCGGCGGCGGACCCGCATTCCACCGTGCCCGTGCTTGTCGCGGCGACAGTGGCGGCCGTCTCAAGCTCACGCGTCAGTGCCCGAGCTAATACGTATGATGAATGCGCACCATGAACGGGCCGGAGGCTCACCGTGAGACCAGCGTTATTACAGACACACAGTCAAAGCAGAGTGGTGGGCATTCACATTGCGAAGATGAGACAGATTCACGACTACAAGAACCAACATGGATCAGTGACACGACAGAGTCAGAGGGGGACAATGAGGAGGAGGGCAGAGCTACTCGAATCCCTCCGGGTGGTGGATTCGTTCGTTGGCCTCCTTCCAGGCCAGAGCAGCGGGGATCGTGCGGTGGCGCTTGGTGATGGGACCATCCGCGGTCATCACATGAGCACGGTGGGCTCCGTTCGGGTCCTTGGAAATGCCCAGATGACCCGTATTGCTCCGAGGCAGCCAGTTCCTCACGTTCGTAGCCCAGCTCGCAGGCCTGAGGTTCGCTCGACGATTGTCGAGCTTATTGCCGTTTCGATGGTCAATGACATCGAAGCCAGTGGGCAGAGGCTGCACCAGCTGGTGAAGGGACACATTAGTACCCAGCCTGGGGTAGCCAGTGCTCTTGTGGACGGCGATGGGGGTGTTGTAGAAACGTCGGTAGATGTCTTCATCCACCAGGATTTCCTCCCCTTTCTTCGTCCTCAGACCCAGCCCTGGATACAGCAGCCGGTACCAGGGTCCGGTCCGAACGAAACACTCTTGTCGCCGCGGCGGATCCTGTCGGCGGCGACCACTACCAACGCGTTTCTAACGCTTCCGCATCCTGCATCGCCCGCGGTGGCTGCCGCGGCGGTGGCTTCGCGGCGGATCGTCCTGTCGGCGGCGGCTATTCCGACAACGCGTTTACACGCGCCTCACCGTACACAGGACGTATGGCTGAGCGGCAGAGGAAATGTAGCAGAGCAGGGTGACGTGTACCTACGACTCAGCCGCTCCTTCAAATCTCAGCAAACTGCGCGGCAACGAGATTCATGGATCGACCCGGAATGCACAGAGGAGGAGTGGCAGGCTG